GTATTGTTGTATAATGTATTGCTGGGATTTGTAGTCCCTCTACAGCTTGGCTTCAGTGGCAGAGCTACCAGGGTCGCATCGTTTGCAGCTGTGACTGGGCCCTGGCGCTCCACCACTGTCCTAAAATCATTAGTCTGTATTGTTTTTGACAAACTGTTACATGGCACTAAAAAAAAAAAAGGTATCGGTAATTGGTATCTGTGAGTATTAATACTTGTACTCGGTCTTTAACCACTTGCTGACCGGGGTGTTTATACCCCCTTCCTGTCCAAGCCATTTTTCAGTGTTCAGCGCTGCAGTACATTGACTGACATTTATTCCGTCATGGAATGCGGTACTGAAATGAATTTTATACCAATTTTTGGGGACAGATAGAGCTTTCTTTTGGTGGTATTTAATCACCACTACATTTTTTTTTTTTACTATATAATGAAAAAAGTACAGAAAATGTTGGAAAAAAAACTGTTATCCCTACGTTATGTTATAAAACATTTATTATTACCCAATTTTTTGGTAAAATATAAAAGATGGGGCCACGTCGGGTAAATAGACACCAAACATGTCAAGCTTTAAAAATACATCGCAAAAAACTACCATACTCAAAATTGACCATAGGGACGCTTTAAAAGGTTTTACCGCTCATCAGTTTAGTGTTATCAGTGATTGATGGCCCTAAAATTATTGCTCTCACTCCGACGTTCGCGGCGATCTGTAACATGTGCATTCGCACGTAGGCGGACTCGACGCATGTTTGCGTGTGCATGTGGGGGCGGGGGACTTTAATTGTTTCATTTAAATTTTTTTATTGCTTTGATATGTGACTTTTAATTTTTTTTCACTTTAATTTGTTTAAACCTTTTTTTTCCACTTTATTGCTATCACTAAGGGAGCAAACAAGCTCTCTATGTGATAGCCAATTTGCAGTGACAGCTCCTCTTTATGGAGACATCAGGGGGTCTTTAAGACCCCTAACGTCACCTTGGGACCCCCAGAGAAGCTGATGAAGCAGAGACCTGCTTCACCAGCTTCTCTCCGGTTTCTGTACTGGAGAGTGGCAGAGGAATGCGGAAGTGATGCAATACACATCACTGCCTGCATTCCGAAGAGGAGTAGGAGATCAAATGGAGCTCGCGTAATGAGCTCCGTTTGATCTCCGGCCGCAGAGCTGCTGTGCCGGTCCCAGGCTCACACCGGGCACAGCGGAGCTCGGGATCAGCAGCAACTGCTGCAGCGGAGGGGGGGCGCACACCCGCACACATATTACAAGCGATCGGGCGTCTCTACAGACGATCTGAACGCTTGTACTGTATGTAAACAGCCATCACTGGCTGTTTACATTCAAACCAATTTCCCGCTCGGCTCCGCCGCCTATCGGCGGGCACGAGCGGGGCGGGATGGGGCGCCCACGCGCTCTCAGGAAGCCGCTGTCCGGACATGCTCAATCCAGCCCCAGAGGGACCGGTGGAAAAAGTGTTCTGTACTGTTAACACATACCTGTGCATATGTAATATTCATCCCCCCCATTTGCATTAGGAGATACTGCAGAAAGATAACATATTATCATGTCCATATTATCAGCTCCCTATTGAGTTTCTAAATCATTACTATGTAAGGTGAGGAAAGACTGCAACTCACATGCTGTCTGTGAGCAGGAGTAACCAGCAGTTGCAGTAGTGTAATTTAAAAGAGAACTATGGGGTTAGTGTTTTCCCCATAATTCTCCTAAGGGTCACGGGAGGACATAAACTAGCGTCCTCCCCTGACCGAAAGCTCAGTATATCGCGAGCTACAGCTTGCGGTATACTGAGACTGCTGCAGCCAGGACGGATCCCAACAATGTTGTCAAGATCCACCCAGCTGGGTCAGTGACAGCTGGCTCTGCCTATCTAGAGGCAGAGCCAGCTGTACCCACCCCTCTCCGTTCGTTCCTCCAGTCAGCACTGGAGGATCGGAGCGGGGAGGGGGGAATCCCCGGAGGGAGCCGTGGCTGACAGTCCTCCTCTGCAGGGAGATGATCGAGAAGTGAGCGAGTGACGGTATGTGTTTGCTCACTTCCCGATCTCTTGAAACTGTCACACGTCGGCTCGAACTATGAGGATGAGTGATGTTTACTCACCTCATAGTTCTCCTTTAAACCCCGGTCTCCAGTTGTCTTACTGTGTGCTGCAAGTCCTCCTTGTGGAACTGTGTTTTACCTACATACTGCATTTACATGAGTAAGTGGCTTAGTGGGTAACACTTCCACTTTGCAGCACTGTAGGTCCCCAGTTCAAATCGCAGTCAGGACACTGTCTGCAGGGAGTTAGCATGTTCTCCTCTGTGCTTGCATGGGTTTCCTCTTGGTACTCAGGTTTCCTCCCACACTCCAAAGACATGCTGGAAGGTTAATTGACTCCTGTCTAAATTGGCCCTGTATGTGTTTACAATAGGGATCTTAGATTGTAAGCTCCTCGTGGGCCTGTTCACACAATGTCCGTTTTCTGTGCTGACCTGATCCGTACGCTCCTGCACTAAAAATGCATCCCAATGTATCCCTATGTGTTTTATGAGCTACAGTTCTCACGTGCGCAGTCCGTTCAGGTTACGACAGAAAAATACTGCATGTCACATTTTGTACGGTCAGGAAACGGTCTAAAAACGTGTCAAAAACGCGTCAAAAACTCACTGCACTGCAGCTAACATACTGACAGCCCCACTCCAGCAAAAAAAAAAAAAGAACTGGAACGCATCACAAAACGCGGCATCAAAAACGCGGCAAAAACACATAGCCCTGCATCTGCAGATCCGCACCTGATCCGGACCTGATCAGGACCTGAAACTCATGTGAACAGGCCCTTAGGGCAGGGACTGATGTGAATGTGCAGTATGTAAAGTGCTGTGTAAATTGTTGGCGCTATATAAATACCTGTAACAAAATACAAAAAAATACGTATTTCATTTAGCAAGAGCAAAAAGAACATAAACAGCGCTCTCGGATAGGGGAGGCTAACTGACAAACATGTGTGCAGCCCTGAAAACAGGAGGAGAACCTGTGGATGCAATTTGACAAAGGAACACAGAGGGCGCAACAGCAAACACACAAAAAAAAATGAATGAAAATAAAAAAAATAAAAATAAAGTGCTGGCTAGTAAGACTGTAATGTGTATAACAAACGGGATCAGATGTGACAGCGATTTTTTACTATCAGATCTGATCCCCTGTTTGCTATACACATTACAGTCCTACTAGCCAGCACTTTATTTTTATTTTTTTTTATTTTTATTTTCCTTCATTTAGCAAGAACCTACTTATGATTCAAAAGGGTATATATGGCATATGGCAGCCATATGTGATGGGCACTTTCTAATCAGCTTCTTTGGAGACCAGACTGTATTCAAATATGTTGTTTGAATGCTTCGAACTGTCTTTACTTGGGCTCTATCCCTAATGCAAACTCCTCTCTTGGTTTGCTCTCTGTTGCATATCTCCTGTCCAGCGTTGCCACCTTTACATGAAAAAAAAATACTGATTGTGATGGCTGTGACTTGTGGGTGTGGTATTGTTGATGCATGCAGAATTACAATAAAAATACTTTGAGGGGGTTAAAGCTGACTTCCGGTCTGGTTTATTATCCTCCCACCACCACTACCACCACCACCACCACAATGCTCCTTGTCAAAGAAGTATGATAGCCCCTGTAATGCTCCATAATCATCCAAGAAAATTTGTGTTTATCATAGTAAATTCACATAACAGCAAGTTTAAATAAAGATCATATAAAAGAACACTATGCAGGCACAATAAAAGCTGAAATAGCAATAATAAATAACTCATGCCTAACAAAAGCATTTTAGTGGTTAATACTATTCATATTCACACAAAAAAGACTGCTCATACTTACCGCTGAACTCCAAGTATAAATAATTATGTGTACTTACATTGGTCCAGCTTGGCCCCATGTACTTATACATATTGTTTCCCTGGAAGGGCCACTGGGGATCCTGTAAAATACTGTAGTAATCGGAGCTGCTACTGTACTTTACAGCAATCTTCTGGGTCTATGATAGGGTTGTGCTGAGCAACTTCCCCTCCAATGTGAAAGCACAAAGGGTCGCTCATTGGACAAAGTGGCCATTCAGCAAATGCCTATTTTTTCTACAAATGAATATATTCACATTCAGATGTGAATGCATCTACTTACCTTTTCTTTAAATTCAGTACAATAAATATAAGTAGGTAGGACTCGGAGTTTTAGAACCACCAACTTAAAATGTTGCAAGCATTTATTTTGCTCCTGACCTATCAGACAAGAGATCCTGCTATCTTTCCTTTAACAAGGTCTGGGTCACCAACTCTTCATACTGGCCATGCACTTTGTGGCCCCATTCCTAGTGATGGGTAAGCTGAACTCATAGCGGCCACTAGTGGGGGCATTTATTAAAGGATAACTTCAGTAAAGTTGAAGATGTCCTTTAATAAATGTCCCCCACATCTTTAAGTGCATTTAGAAACCACTAGTGGTCACCATGAGTACAGCTTACAGCATGAGTACAAGCTTCCATAACTGAGTCGGTTCCTAGGGAATATGAATGACCGTTTAATATAACTTTGGAATGGTCTTACACACCAGTACTGATTTGAGAAAATTCTACTTACAAAAATGCTCTACAATGTTATGGTCCTGAAGGACAACTTCACTAGAGGTGAAGTTGTCCTTCAAATTTATAAAATTGTAGAGCAATTAGAAGACATACCCATGGTAGGCATACAAAAGATAGCTAGACAACATTCATGGCTTCTGGCCAACTTCTAACCAACTATGAACATTTCAGATTAGTGTTTCTAATGTAAAAAAGATGCATATGTGTATAATCTCAAATGCATTTACAACTCATTACAATGCTGGTTGCCCCTGAGCCCAAATTTGACATGCAATCATGTTAATACCTCCAGCTCACTAATTGAATTCTCTATTTAGTCAGCTAAGGCACAATCAGATTAACAGGAAGTGTCAGCATACCTTGCCATCACATCCGATGGGTTTCTTGCATTCCTCACATGTGTTGGAGTATAGGCTTTCATAACATTTCACACAGTATGGGTTCTCTTCCCTCAGCAGGTATTTCTTTCCAAACAGAGATTCCTTGCAGTATTGGCAATCAAAGCGTTCTGTCATTTTCAATGTAATCGTTTTTTAACCTGAAAGAAATCGCATGTATCATTTTTCTGCTACAGTTTTAAAAATAAAACATACCGTATATATTCTACTTTTACTTTTTTGTGGAGATACTTCACCATATGTAATACTATTTCCCTATTAACTGTCTTTTTTTTAACTACAGAATTTGATCATTTTTACCCTTCTTTTTGGCCATCTACAGTAGTAAAGTGTATTTGAAGGGATTTGTATATTATGGTGAGATATCCATGTTTATTAGCTGTATTATTTTCATGTCATTTTCTCTTCTATGTATTCTGAGCCCATTTACAATTCCGTGCTTTTGGAGCACCTTCCTGCATCTAAGGCTCCGTTCACACATATGGGGAAGCACGCAAAAATGAATATATTCCAATGTAGCTTGTTCACACAGTGGAAACTGTGCATATGTTAAAATGTGCGCGTTTTCGTGCTGCGCAGACGAACACGCGGAAAACCATGTTGAATTTCAAAACGCTATGTGTGAACGGAGCCTTAGACTGCATATAAAATACATCTTGTATCTTATTCATATGTTTTGTGTGTGTGTCTTAGATAAGAATCTAACATGCTATAGCTTAGCTGTTGCTTCCAGCAAACACATATCTTATATTTCATGTTACACAGTTACAGCTGGAGAAATAAATTGGAATGTTTGCACGATTTAAGTGATATTACGTAAACTATCAACCACTATAAAATCTTGCAAAAAAAACAACAACTCATCACGCATATTTCTCTTTCATTTGCCCAATTATTTTAAATGGCATTACCCTTTGTAGTTGATACAGTCTGGAATTAGCAAACATGACTCCCTCTCACCACTATATGCTGAATCACTGAGCAACCTAATTTTTCTTAAGTATTTTGGAAACTTTGTACAAATGATGCCACAATGTCTATCCACTATATTATATTTTTTTGCAAATAAATCCCTTACATCTTGGGTTTGTATATTTTCTTGTGCATGCTCGTATATTTGAGCCAACTAATTCCCTTGCATGTTACACTGAGCTAGTTGTTCCACATGATTACATTGAAATTCTTTTTCTTAGACCATCAATGATTTTGAATATTTCACATGTTTTCCCAGAGAAGAGATGAAAGTGTGATTTGAAAAGAAAATATCCAAGACATGTTGTTACAGGAAGCAGAGATCCGATTCCTCATTTCAGGAGGTACTGCTAGGTGAGTCTACCAGATCTTGACTTCTCTGTCCAGACAGAAGGTCTTGGAGTATGTATAAAAAATGGTTCCTCTGCAGAATGTACTACGCGACTGTCATGTCTATAAAGACCGCACGCTCTTGTATATTGTTTTATAATTTAATACCAGCCCATTATCAACATATCCATTCTGGATCCTATCACTTTCCACACTCACTAATGGAATATAAACAGTGGCATGTGAGCTAAAGGCATACACTCCTCCTAAATATTTACAAGAGAAGAATACAGATGGAGTCTAACACTGTCATTGCTGTATAAATTCCCCTTTGCTTCACTAATCCACTTAGTCGCTATTTATTTTACCACTTGAGCATTTATAAGGAGGGACCTATTTGATTATATGCTCCAGGGTGAACATTGGGTGAATTGCCCAGTTTTCTTTTGATAAATATATCCATCATGTAATGCACTTGAGATTGTCAGTACATTAATAGAGCCTAATCATTTTTAAAATAGAAAATCTGCTATACTTGTAACAATGTGTACAGATCCAGGAAACGCTACTACCCTTCACTTTCACTTTCATCCTCCCGCCAAATATTCCTATGTTCACTACAAGCAGAAAAGCCTAGAGAAAATGTAATATGAAGGAAAGAGAAATGATGCTTTATTTTATAGTATAGTTATTAAAGAATAGTGGTAGTCATGCCTGGACCCATTTTTTAAGGACCCAGAAGCAGTTGTACCCTCTGCACCCCTTTATGTGTCATCTTCTGGGATGTACTGTATATACATTCTAGACATTCTATGGCACACTAGGGTATAACTACAAAGAGTGCAGGGGGCTATAGGTAATGAATTCAACAATTTTAAATGTAAAATAATTATATTTTTAATATAAATTGAGATATTGACTAACTCAATCATTTTTTTAGTTGGAAGAGTTAACAATTCTGTGTTAGAGAGCTTTTGCATCATATCCTGATCCTGTGGCACACGTACAAGGAATGGGCCACACAATTGTCACCATTACTGGAAGGCACAAATAGAAATACAATGTTGTCAGAAGTTCCATCCCTTCCTCTCTCTACTAGAAAGGTGTTGTTTTTTTGTCTCTGATCCTCTTGAGAGCATTGCTATGACTTATTGAGGGAAAATCTCCCCCAACAGGGGAGGCGATTGCAAAAAAAAACAAAGGCTCCAAACCTTTCCTGTTCTATCCAAAATGAACCAAGATACAGTCTTAAAATGTAACTGTGAGCAGACTGTGGATGTTTATATATTCCTTAAACAGACCTTTGTAGCAGCAGGCATTGTGGAGTAATATATCCTCAGAGGCACTGTGGAGAAATAATTTTTATGGTGAAAAGGTTGACTGACACAATGCTGGATGAGCATTGAGCTCAATGAGAGAGGAAAAGAACTGAGGCAACAACTCACTCAACAGTGCCTACACCTAGAGAGAGGTGAGTGAGCCTCTTTTACTGGGCACTGAGGGCATTTTTACTGCTTATTAAGGATATGTAAATACTTAATGTCCATACCCTGGCCATGTTTATATATTTAATCACTTTTAATCACTTGAATACTAGCCTTTATAAACCCCTTTATTACCAGGCAATTTTTCAGTTTTCAGTGCTGTGGTAGTTTGACTAACAATTACTTGGTCTTGCAGCACTGTACCAATTTTATATCAGAATATCAATCAGAATTTTATATAATAGTTTTATTTTCTTTAAACAGATATAGCTTTCTTTCAGGTATTTAATAACCGCTGGGTTTTTTAAATATTTAAGTTTTGAACAAAAACGGATGTTCTGATTGTCTATCGCATTTCTTGAGGCCTTAAAATGCCCCCAAAAATGTATAGTTTAGTACATAGCATATACATGGCAGCTGTCATAGTGCAGGTTTCAAGACTATGTGCCACATACAACAGCATGCAAATTTAAGTGGTCATTAGTGAGTGCCCCATAATTGTTGGTGGTCAGAGGTGTGTTTCCCCTATAATATTGGTAGTCAGTGAGTCCCCTTTATGGTCAATATCCTCTGTGTACCCCTCTTGCTGCTCAGTATGGCCCCCTTTCATTGTTGGTCAGTGAGAACAGTGTTACTCACAAGAATCAGAAGAAAAGCTGGCACAGGAGGAAACCAGAAGATTGGCAGAAAATCAACTGCGGAAGAGGAGGAATCCCAATTGTAAACAGTGTTTACACTTGTGACCACTCTGATTAGCCATCAGGCTTGATCTGTGCATTTGCCTGTGATCTATTCACAAGCAATTAATTACAAGATTTCAAAGGGCGTACTGATCATATGTGTGTGTTTTCTGCAGTGCCGTTTATGAACAATGCTCCAGAAAACTGAAACCACCTCTCCACTGTTTTTTACAATATGGCGACATTGAGGTGGTTAAGGGCTAAACTGTAAATAAAAAATACTTTGTGTAGGTCATTCACTAAAAATAAAAATCCCACATTGAATAGTAAGGTGATTACTTTTATTCAAATTAGATTTGTACATGTGATCTTACACTTATTTCTTCCCGGATGGACTTTTCAACTTGAGGGGGTACAAGATGTTGGAGTGTGGAATTCTGTAACTGTGCAGATGCTATGGTCATTGTAGTTACCAGAGAATAGCACAACACACTGGTGGAACTACCAGGGTTGCAGCGGTCACGTGTGTGACCGGCTGTGGTGTTCCGCCACTTAGGGGGGCCCAGAACAGAAGAGGGCCCCTCTCTGGTACCTGCTAAGGTGCCAACATTGCCTCCTGGGGCTACAACTCCCAGCATGCAGCAAGCCAATGCTCCACAGCTCCCTCCCTGCAAAGGTTGACACTCATACCACTGCATTCTTGCTTTTTTTGATGGGAGGCTTCCTGTTTTTTTGCACTGGGCTCTGAGGATTCTAGTTACGCCTCTGGCACAACATATGCACTCTCAGGCCTATATTTTCACTGGCTCCCCATATGAAATGTGCATTCAGTACACTTGCTACATTCTTAATTCCTGACTTCTAATTTGCAGTCCAGGGTGCTGGCCTGCCATGAACCTTACCTTGTATTTTTAAGTCACCATCTATTTGCTGATTCTTCCCTGCCATCATTTGTCTTTGGCCAATTAAAGGTTATGCCAACTGACTACTAACTGGATAATTATTTATCTATTCAATCAGAATTCCAATAAAATTCACTGGCACAGTATGGCACCTATTTCTATGCCTGGAGCAGTCATAGCTAGATTCTACAGGGGCATATATTGAATTGTAATTAAAAGTGGATCTACTTGAAGATGGGAACATCTAACCCTTTATAGACTGACAAGTAAGTCATAATCCTCTTCCAGTTTACACCACAGACAGATACATCACTGGCAAATAAAATGGGGATAGTTGCCAAATCATAGACATTTTATAGTCTAGTACACAAAAAAAACGTAAATATATCCTGTGAAGGAAACAGCAGGCTGCTGCTTCAAGATGCAATATAAAGGAATTTAATGGGTATATAATGATATACATGGAGGTTTTGTCGGAAATTCAAAAACTACCTCAGTACCATAATCTGCACTTTGTACTGTACTTCTAGATAAAAAACAAAATGTTGTTTTTAACATTTCATTATTATATGCTTATTAATAAAAAAACAACATGTTTATGTTTCAGTATAATGTGAAGTGTAACTCATCTTAACATAACTGCAAACCATATCTGTTTGCCACTTAAAATAAGAATGTCAATTATGAGGTTGGTCTAGGGCAGGGGTCAGCAACCCCCGGCACGCGTGCCCAGCCTGGCACGCGAGACCTTGACAGCTGGCCTGAGGTCTGC